GCCGTGGGACTGCTGCTCCAGGTGTAATCCGATGGCTTCTTTCCTCGGTTGTCCCTGGCGTAAATGTTTCCTCCAAATTCAATCAGCATCTCCACCAGATCCACGTTTTTCACTTTTGCTGCGTGGTGGAGGGCTGTCTCATGAAGTTTAGCAGCGTTCACATTTGCCCCTGAGGGCAGAAGGAAAAACAAACCTTTTCATTAAAGCTCATTGACACAAACATAAGTAGTGGTTTGACTGAAGCAAAATAAAAAGCTGTTAAAACACGCACGAGCAGCTAGAACAAGATCCAAACGAAACAGCACAAACAGGAAACCAAACTGCTGAACGAGTTCTCGGTGCTGGCAACGCGTGAGTTTTCTTCTCTGGCTTTATGTTTTCCTTGCAGAGAAAGGATTTTAGCCCATGTTACTGGGTGAATGAGCTGTTGAGTGTGAAGTTCAGAATTGCTTCCTGACTCCGTGCTGTCCGAAGCCAGCAAACAGCCATTCCCAGTCATCTCAGTGGAGTGCTCCCACTCAAGGCAAACAGTGATGCCTTTGTTAACTATTTTAACAGAAATACCCCAGACTCAGAAGATGTGGCAGCTCACCATCAGACATTACTGTGGGATCAAATTTTAATTAGAGATATTTTTGCTAAGAAAGTTTGGCTTTCATAAACTGACAAAAAAAGGTCCTTCCAATCCCCCCACAACCACCTGCATTTTATCAACTGATTTGAGCTCAGCAGAGATGAGCTGAACCTCACTGAACTCAAACAACTGACTTCTAGATATGTGTAGCCACAATGAACTCCCCTTATAATTAATGAGGAGAAGCAGGCATTTCTGGGGAATCAATTAAAGGGCACACAAGAAAGGGAACTGGAGGGAACAGGCTAGATTAGATGTGTCATTTTTAGACAACTAACGTTCAACAAAACAAATCCCCACTCCTGGGCCAAATCACCTCCTGGTAAGCACAGGCAAAGAAAAGAAGTTCAACTCCAAATTCCCCCAAAGAAAACTGGGATGTGAAATCTGGAGCACAGAACATTGACTTGAACATCCAGTGAACTCATCTGGGCATAAACACTAACCAGATCTTCTTGAGGTATGAAGTGATTTCATCTCTGGTTTTCTGTACAGCATCAAACCCTAACACCTCTCCTAACACCCACCCCAAACCATACGACTCTGCTATGTGTGTACAACAGTTGATATCACTTTTGGGAAGGAGTTGAAACTTTGCTCTAGGGGGCTGAAGAGTTCTGAATTTTATTAAAATAAGAGAATGGGAATGTCACTGGGAACATCACAGACTGGATATTGACAGGCACATGCTGCAAAAATGTTTAAGCATTAAGCTTTGCTCAGGTAAAGGCAAAAGCTTTCACCTTTGTCATCTATATCACGCTGTGAATGAATAAGCTCTTCCACAAGAACACTGCTGTGGAGCACCAAGGGAAACACGGCGCACAGGCACCACCATCTCCTGCCACCCAGAAGCAAACCCCGTGGCTGCCATACCTGCCTTGAGCAGCAACTTTGCACAGTCCAGATGCTCCCTGGCACAGGCCACGTGTAGGGGAGTCCCGAAATGGCAGTCGTGAGCCTCCAGGTTCGCACCGACGTCGATGAGGAGCTGCACGCACTCTGAGCTACCTTTAGAAAGGGAAGATCCTAGTCAAAAGAAAGAATCCAGCTCAAATGGGATGGCAGGCTGAGATCAGCTCGACACACAAACAGTCTGTTTAATATCTGGGATGACAGCTGCAAAATAGAAATGCCTGTGAGCCAACACAATACACTGTAGGACCAAGATCAGGACACAAGACACGGAGTCACACCTGCATGGCACTGAGCTAGAGCTAACAGGCCTTGCAGGGAGTCAGGTCAAACAAACCTGAATTCAAGGGTTTGCAGCAAATCGCCCATTGTTCGTGGAGCTGGTAGTCTTGCTGGTCCTGCCTGGGGTGGATTAGATCGCTTTCAAGACCACTCCAGCTTTACTTTTTCCAACGTTAATAATATGACTTAACAGCAAGCGGGTGGTCGTCATCATCAAGGCTTGGGAAAAAAGCTTGACAAGGAAAAGCTAAGCAAGAGCTCACAGCTACATATTTAAGTAACTACCTGTTTGTCAAAAATGCTGTCTCCCAAAGCCTTCACAGTCAAAGGGAAACTGTCCAGGACAGCATATAACAACAATGGAGGAGAGAGGAGGTATTACATCTTAAAGAGGAAACTGAGGCACAAAACAATTAAGAGATTTGGTCACAATCATCTAATAGGGACAATGCTGGTCTCAAATCCAGGCTTTCCTGCTGTTGTGTCCATGCAAGTGGAAGTTCAGGGGAGCAATTACACTTAAATACCCCCCTGTATACTTAGTTATGCCTCTGCTGCTGTCATAGCCACCCCGATGCTTCCTCCTGTTCCATTAACTCAGATCCAAACACCCAGAAGAGGCTTGAGCAGAGAACAGGGGAAGTAGAAAGCAGCTGGCCCACACCAGCTGGGACATTATTTTGGCCCTTGCAGTTTTCTCTTATCCCCTGGACAGACCCTCAGCTGGAAAAGGCTGTGAGAGGGACAAGGAACAAGGAGGGTAGCAACTCTGCCCAACAGTCCCTGACACTTTCTTCCTATCTGACAGCCAGGAGGGACAGAATCACCCGACGAAGATGGTTTTGTGTCTTAATCATAACAATTTATCCCATCTCAATTTGGATCAGAGGAAAAGAATGCAAACACCCCTCCGCTTGCAAGAGCAAAATTACTGGTTTGGTTCAAGGTTTTCTCATAGAACATCAAGAAGCTGGTATTTTATCTGATTGCCATCTTATTCCATATCCCTCACGTGGGATGAAAGCACCCAACACAAGGGATGGCTTTATTCACCCATAACAGAGCACTCTGCATTTTGTGTTCAACGGGAGATGTGCAGCTGAAATATTTGCAAGCTGTAACGGTTTTTGGGTACTTGGCAGCTGCTTTTGTTGGGTTGTTTTTTTTTTTTCCCAAGCTGCAAATAACCATGCAAAGATAAGACCACACAGACTTACCATTCATGCAGGCTTCGTGGAGAGGAGACGCCGTGTACAGGGGAGGGTTCACCTTGGCGCCGTGGGACAGCAGCACTTTCACACACTCTATGCTACCCGAGGCACAGGCATCGCAGAGCGGAGTGCTGCCATCAATATTCCTGGCATCCACCTCCAAGGCAGAAAAAAAAAGTTAAGGTACTCATAGGCTGCTGTGTAGCAGGACCCTCTTGCCTATGCTTTTACTTCTTTTAACCCTAGAAATAGTCTGGGCTCAGGAAACAGTTGGTTGCTACTGCCAGCAACGTGGCTTGTGCCGTTCCCATCACTCTCAAGGCACAGATGTACATTAATGTCAAAAGTTTAAGTTGTTATTTCCATCATTTTACTTTTCTGCCACTCTCCTGCTGAAGATTACAAGCCTTGCGGCTGAGTAACACGAGGCAACTCCTTGTCTGCTTTAGTGCAAGGCCCAGCTTCATCAGCAGACTCAGCCCAGCTGCCTGACTTTGCACTGAGAAGGACAACAGAGCACACACGTGCTCCACTTCACCAGCTTTGCTCTGAGGACAGCTGTCCTCAAGAGCTTGTGATTTCTCACACGCTGAAGACAAGTCAGTGCCAGCTATAGCCGAAGACTGATTTTTGTTTCCATAATAAAATTAAAGAAATAGAAGAAGAAACAAAATAATAAATATAAATCCCCCCCTGGAAGCTACACGTCCCCTTGAATCAACCAGCTAGCTTTAGATACTTGAGTCATCTAGATTAGATTTCTCGTCACCCCAGGCTCTGTTGATAGTCAGTGAGGAGGGAGGGGGAGAAACAGAGAGAGAAATACTTCCAGGCAGTTTTTTAAGTCCTCCTCGAGCTCAAACACCCTCTGAAAAGACCCCCCCCATCATCTGCTGACTGTCAAGAAAGCCCAGGGTGATGAAGAAGAGCCTAGAGCTCGATGAGGACAATCCAGATCCCAGAAATAACTTGAGACATCAAGATGGAAGTTCCAGGCTGGATCAGACCCAAATACACACCTGTGCCCCTGCAGCCAGCAGGAGCTTGACACACTGTGTCTGCCCTCGCAGGCTCGCCTCGTGCAACGGGGTGATAGAGTCGTAGGTGACCGCGTTGACGCAGGCTCCGCTCTCTATCAGCTGCTGCAGCTGCAGGATTTCTCCCCTCCTGGCTGCTTCATGGACTGGTGTTCGATCGGCCCAGAAGCCTAGAGAGGAAAGAATAAATAAGTAAATAAATACAACCATACATGCGGAGCAAATGGGCCTCCACGCTGGAGAAAAGCAGACAGGGAACATGGGCTGGGAGCTAGAAGAGAGAGCTGGGAACAAGGAGCTTATTACCATTCTCCCACTCAGCACATGATTTTAAATCGTGTGTTTCATGTTTGTGGGCTCCCTGTTGATCGCTGCCCTGTCAGGGACTGTCTGTAATTACAGTTTCTGAAATGCTTTGTTGTACTTGCTTGAACATTATCCAAATACAAACCCCAGCAGCATTCACCAGGTCCAGATTCACCCCAGTGAGCTCTGAACTATTTAGTGTTAGGAGCACCGTCCCTCCTGGCACCATCTGAAATCACTGGAAGCAGAACACCTCCAGAGAACAACTCAACTCACCTAAAAACCATCATCTTCCCCAAAAGTCAACGGAGTTTCAACAACTAAGTTTCTAGTTTCAACGCCTTCGCTGAGCATCTACACCTACATGGGGCAAGTCTGAGTTTAGCTTCCCAGCACTACCTGACAATAGCATCTCCTTCCAGGTGGGTTTTTCTTTCAAGGAAGCAATGAGGAAAGAACAGCCCCGTGCATTTTCACACGACCTTCAGCAAGATAAATGTATCCTCTGGAAAAAAAAACAGCCTGCGAAAGCAGGGTTTATAGGAGCAGTAGGGTACTGTCTGCACACAGGTCAATACTAAAAATCATCAGCAAAACAGACCTCACAGCTAGAGTTCCTCCCCTTTGAATATATCTCTGTAAAATCCCTCTTTCAAGGTAGGCACGCACAGCTGTGGAGTAGGAGAAAAAGCATGATTTGCCTTATTTTTTTAAAAGTAAAACATCTTGTCATGTATTTGAGTTGGACTGACCTTCCCTCTCACCATCCCTGTACACAGCATTTTATTTACCAGCCTAAAGCAGTAAATGCCAACACAAGCCAGCAGTTATGGAAGATGGAGCAGACCCAAAGAATAACCTAATGCTGAGGTGTATGGTTGACTGAAACCATCCCCTGAAAGGGAACCACGGGTACTGGCGTTTTCACAGCACACAGTATATATGCAGGCTTTTTTATTTGCTTGTTAGATCCTCGTTCCCTCTGCCAGTATCCCTGGGCAGGATGTTTTTCCTTCCCTGGAGCTCCTTGTGGTTTATGTCAGGAGAAGCAAGAAGTCCAAATGAGGATGGAGCTCTGGAATCACCAGCCACTGAGCAACACCACTTTGTCACCAACAGCACCGAGACGAAGCAGCTCCCGCAATATTTCATTATGGGCTTATTATATAGCTCAAAAAACCAAACCTGCAGGCTCAGGATCATCTTGGTTGGAAAGGACCTTGAAGCTCCTCCAGCCCAACCATGACCCTCACCCTGACCGTTCCCAACTCCCCCAGATCCCTCAGCGCTGGCTCAGCCCGCTCCCCCCTGCCCTGGGCAGCCCATTCCAACGCCCAACAGCCCCTTCTGCACAGAAATCCTTCCTCAGAGCCAGCCTGACCCTGCCCTGGGCAGCTTGAGGCCATTCCCTCGGGGCCTGGCACTGGGGCCTTGGCTCCAGAGACTCATCCCCCCTCTCTGCACCCTCCTGGCAGACAGGTCCTCAGATTTCTTCTCTCCCACTGCACAATCCCTTACGTGGCAGGCTCACGTGAGAGAGAACATCATTCCCCACAGATGGGGCTCCCACAGCCCCATAGGTCTTCCTTGCCTGACTGCAGCCAGGGTCAGACCTAACTCTGGGGCTCAGCATGGGTCAAGCCTAACAGTTTTGCCTCAGCAGCTGAAGCACAAGGCAGGGGAACAACGCCGGTTCCTGATGCAACTCGAGAACAGCCCTTCCAGGGGAACCAGCCGTGCGCCCGCGAGGGTCTTTGCTGCAGGACAGGCTGCTGGGCTCAGCCCGCTGCTCCGGCCTGCCATGCCCCATCCCAGGGACACCATTTCTCAGGAGCTCTGTAAGCACCTGCATCACCCCCAGCCCTGCGGAGGTGACCTGGCAGGCAACTGCTGGCGGGAGGCTGAGTTTGGGCCCTCCTGGGGGGGTGTGCATGGCTCCCACTCGCCATCTCTTGAGGAGGAGGAAGCCATCCCCTCTCCTCCAGCTGCCCAACCCCGCCTCTTCAGATCACACACACAAATGATAGTGGAGGAACAATGATAATTCCCCATGCCTAGAAGCAGGGGATGTCTCAACAGCATCTTCACCTTCCTCTTATCCCTTTCCTTGAGAGAGGCCGTTTGCCCCCAAACCACCCTGCTCAACCCCAAACCATCCTGTGCATCCCCCAAACCATCCTGTGCATCCCCTAAACCACCCTGCCCACCCCCAAACCATCCTGTGCATCCCCCAAACCACCCTGCGCATCCCCTAAACCACCCTGCCCACCCCCAAACCATCCTGTGCATCCCCCAAACCA